TCCATTTTATATAAGGGACTGGAGCGTGGATTTCGGTATCCCTGGGGGCGGGGGCTCCTGTGACCGACCCTCCGCAGGTACCAAGGGACTGCTATGTGCACAAGTGGCCTTTCCAGAACTAGCAGCGGATTCGTTCTGCTCACGACCCTGGGCGTGGGAGGCAGCTGGGCTGTAACAAGGAGCCTCTAGACCCTGGGAAGGTGGACTCAAGGTTCCATTATAAGCTGGGCGGCGTTAGTCTTGGGGTTGGGGATGGCTCTAAGACCTGACTTTTGCATGCGTTCCGTCTGGTTAGAAAAATGACTAAGAGTACATAGTCTGGGAGGAAACTGGGAAGACTTGGGTTCAAATTCCTGATTCTGTCATTAATTAGCTATGTGATTTCATGAAAGTTACTTACCAATACATTTTCTCCCATGTGTAATAAGAAAATGCCTATCTCATAGGGTCATTGAGAAAACGACGTGAGGTTTATATATACAGCACTTCATATAAGACAGTGTAGATTCTCAATAAATGTTGATTTTTAAAATAAATCAGTGATGAGAACTTTATTTTTTATAACTTAAGGGTTTTTTAAATTACAGTCGGTATTTATAGAAAATTAGAAATTACAGATAAGCAAAAGGAAATTAGAAAGCACTCGTATCCCGGGCATTCAAAGATATTCGATATTTATATATAAGTATATTTCCTTCTATTATTTTTCCTGTTTTATGTGCACATATAATTGTATGTATAGATGTCTATGAATGTGTATATATAGTTATATAAATATGGCATAAAACATACATATATTTATTTAATTGGTTATTTCACTTAATAATAGATTATGAACATTTACCCATGTTCTTGAATATTTCTTTAAAAGAGCTGCATAGTATTCTAATCTATTATAGCATATTCAATTACTCTTTTAACATGAAACTTTTAGATAGTGTCTAAGTTTTTGTGTTTTTTTTCTCTTATAACTGAATTCTCTATAGCACAACTCTATAGCCAGATACTTTCACATTTATGTCATTATTTCCCTATGATTAAACTCAGGAAGTAACATGATAGTTTTCAGTAATAATGAAGAAAATGAGATAAAGTGTGAAAAGCACAGAGTATAGCAATCGCAGATAGTGAGTCATCGGTAAATGCTCAGGACAGAGGATCTATGTATGTGCTGTAAGAGGGGAGGGAGGAATATCTGGGGGGATCGTTGCTGTTCCTTTTCTCTCCTTGTTGCGGGTTCTACCTGCTGCTGGTGTGACACGAACACGCCCTGCAGCTTGCTGCCTCCCACGCTGGGTTTGGATGCCCAGTCTGGGGCCCTCTTGGCAGAGCTGTCCCCACCAGTACCAAAAATAGAAACACACAGATGGCGTGCTATCGTGAAAGAACAACGTTACCCCAGAAGATGGTTCCCATCCCCAGGCCGAGGCACTGTACCGGAGGCGTGGGGAACGTGCCCGTTTTCTCCTTGGTCATTTACCACCCCCACCCCCATGTGGTGTCATTACATTACATTCAGGAGCGTAACGAGGCACAGAGCACGTGGCAGTGCCAGGTACATTCAAGGGAGAGACCCCGGGCGTCTGAGCCGAGCGGGTGGAATTGGCTGGGCGGACACTGGGGAAGTGCAGGCTTGGCCCAGGCAGGGCTGCTGCTCCGTCCAGCTGACGGCAGGAGTGGGCTCGGGCTGGCCAGGATTCATTTTTCACAAGAAGCTGCAAACTGGGATTGTTTTCTTTAAATCGTTCCATTTCCTAATGTTATTGGCAAAGTGGAAGAATACATTTTTTAAAAGCATTTATGTATGTGCGTGTGTGTGTGTGTTTATGTGATTTATTTTCTTAAGATGAGTCTTCAGCTTGCTGCCTGCAGATCTTGGGACTTGTCAGCCTCTGTAATTGCTTAAGCCAATTCCTTAAAATAAATGAATGAGTGCGTGTGTGTGTGTGTGTGTGTGTGTGTATATATGAATGTACGTCCACACACACAGTCTATTTCTCTGGAGAGCCCGGGCTGAGTGAGGAAACACAGTGGAGGGACAAGGAAAGATGCTAGGCTTCTTTGAATATATTTTGTGTTGTAGGTTTGACTTTGGCACTATATACATAGCTTACAAATTCATAAAACAAAATTAGATGTTAAAAAAGCTGTCATGAGAAATTGAAAGGGGGAAAAAAGAAACAATTGAACCTCACTGGACATCAGGTTGGTGGCATAACCACATGGAACGGAACTATTTCAAGTGACTTTGAAAGCCAGAAATTTATACTTTCCTAGTAGGAAAGACTTAAAATATGTTTTTAAAGCCAAACTTCAAATTGTTTTTCTTGATCATACTGTTCCTGTGGTGGTGGCATTTGTGTTCTGAAACTGTTCAATTGTGGGTTAAATCAAATGAGTGACCATGGTGGTGTCATCGAGAACATGGATTTTTGGTGTGGAGTAAAGATAACAGTGTAAGATCTGTGAAGTTAAAGGAAAACCTTCAAGTCCTGAGTTTGAACTGAAGTTTCATGTGAACTCATGGTGTTTGTTTTCTATTTAAAAACACAACTTATTTTCTAGCTCTGACCACAGAAACAAGGGCCAATTCAGTAGCATTGAGCACCCAAAGTTCCCAGCTTGTTGTGTCTAAATGCCAGTTCCCACCAAAATGAACCAGGGCTTTTTACTAGAAATGCCTGCTTCCAGGCCTGGGGCAGCACATGTGTAAGATAACCCTGGAATATCTTGTCTTGCCACAGCCATGGGCCAATAAAGACTGCCAGGTCAGCCCTACCCGGTTTGGCTCCGTGGTTAGAGCATCGGCCAGGGGACTGGGTTCAATTCTGTCCACGGGCGCACACCTTGGTTGCAGGCTCGGCCCTGGTCAGGGCTCGTGCTGGAGGCAGCCAATCAATGTGTCTCTCTCACATTGGTGTTTCTCTCTCTCTCTCCCCTTCCAATTTCTCTGAAAAGCAATGGAAAAAATATCCTCAGGTGGGGATTAAAAAAAAAAAGACTGCCAGGTCATATTAAAGGGACTAGAAGTCAACTTGAAGAGACTCCCTCTGGGCATGAATAGGACAGTGAAAACATCAATAGGGCTAAAAACTGTCTTGGAGTGAAACAGATCAAAGTGTTCATAGTGATATTTAAAAAATAAAAATCTCATGGGTCATCTTTGGAGGATATTAGGTAGCCAATTCAATAGTTTGAAGATCAATAAATATAGAGGGGGGAAATCAAGCACCTATCAAGTTCCTGTATAAACTATAATATAAGGTAAACATGTAGTTGATGACATGTAATTTCTTTTGATAGAGCATCCCAGCTAGTAAATTCAGAATAAAATAAAAGAATTATTTTATCACCAGTTTTAAATCTTTAGTGAAATAATAGATCATCTAGGCAAGTATCACCAATGGCTGATGACAATACCGGAAAAAATATTATGTGCCTCCAGATAGAGCAATGCCTTATGTGACAGGCAGAAAGATGCCCTCCACTGCAAATACGTTATATGTCCTAATCTCAGAACCCGTGAGTATGGTACATTACATGGCAAAGGGGGGTTAAAGTTACAGATGAAATTATGGCTGCTAATAAGGTGATCTTAAAATAGGAAGATTATCCTGGATTATCCAGGTGTGGATGAGGGAGGCAGATTTGTCAGAGTGACTGGATGTGAGAAAGACTCAACCAGCCATTGCTGACTTTGAAGGTGGAGAGGGCCACAAGCCCAGGGGTGTGGGCAGCCTCGAGAAGCTAGAAAAAGTCAAGGAATGGAGTCTCCCATAGAGCCTCCAGAAAGAAATGCAGCAGCTTGCGGACACCTTGATGTTAGTCCTTTGAGTTCTGGGTCAGACTTCTAGCATTCAGAACTGTAAGATATTACATTGGTATTGTCTTAAGCCACTGAGTTTGTGGTTATTTGTTATAGTAGCAATAGAAAACTAATATATTCCATTTCCTTGGATGCATTCTTTCTGGAAAACTGAGTCTAAATCTGAGCAAGCCTCTTGATTTAACTACCAATTTACCGGGGGGACTATGGGGCACAGAGAAACACATTATATGAAATTATGGCAATTGGAAATTTTTAGCAAAATCTAAACTTTCGGCAATGCTGTTAGAAAAATTACGTTTTATTCATCATATGAAGTACGTGTGTGTGCGTTTATGTACATATTTATGAGAGAGAACAGATTGACTTAGGAGATTTTAGATGACCTACTATTTTATTAACCAATTGCAGTATAGAACTTGCTTTAAATAAACAAAATAAAGAAATAAAATAAATATTAATGAAATCCAAACATTGACACTGGGTGTTTGATGATATTAAGAAATGATTTTTTTTTTTCATGTGGTAATGGTATTATGGTTAAAATGAAGGAGGGGCAGTGTGGTGGTTGTAATAAAGAACAATAGACATAAATTAATACTTGTTGAAGATTAAGTGATAGATACATAAATGTTTGCTTTTGTTCTTTGTACTTTTTATATATTTTTAAATATTTCTATAATAAACTATTAGTAAAAATGTTAGTAACTAATTTGACTTCTTAAGTGTGTTGTGAGCCAAATATACCATGTCCAAAGGCTGGATTTGGCCAACGGGCTGCCATTTTGTGATTTCTGCAGAGATTTTCTTTAAAAAGGATCTTCGCTTTTAACTTAGGGATGCACTCTCTTCTCTCTTCCCACTCACCTCCTGCCTCCGTTCTTTCTGCACCGCCCAGGGAAAGAGCCTCCTTCATCTGGGCAGGTGGATGACGGGGATTACAGGTTGCTTTAAATAGAATTTTCTTAGAATAAGTGAGCGAAGAGGGCAGCGTGCATAATTGCTTTGAACAGCGCCTCCTAGTTGTTTGTGTATTTGTTTGGACCCAACCCCCACTCATCCTACTGTCTTAAAATAAAAAGGCAATACCTTTATTTCAATATTTGAAAGCCTGAGGTATTTTGAAATATTGACTAATTGCATTTTTCATGTTATCTCTGTGCCTCTGTTTCAGGATGGAATGGGAAACTTGAGAATCACAGAAAAAGGTCTAAAGCTGGAAGGAGACTCAGAATTCTTGCAACCTCTCTACGCCAAAGAAATCCAGTCCCGCCCGGTAAGTTTCTGCCGGGAGAAGGAATTGTCCTTCCTCTGAATCTAAATCTGGGGAAATCCGCCTGCCATCAGCTGGGTGTAAAGGGTGGTGTAGGGGGTGATGATACAGGTAATGAGATGCCTGCAGATCTGAAGTCTTGAGTGGAATCCCGGCTCAGTTAAAGAACTGAGGCTGGGCGAGTAGGATGCCCACAGCCACGTAGGCAAGAAGCAGCAGGGCAAGGATCTCCACTCGGAAGTGCAACTCCCAAGCCCTTCTCTTAACCACAGTCTCGTTCCTAAGCTTTCTCTTTCATTCTTTCTCTTTTGCCCGGATAGAAGTGATTTCTAGATACCTGGCTTTTATTAATCTTTGTTTATGAGTGGTTTGGGGGTTGGTTTTTGTTTCTTTGGTTTTTATTTTTGTTTTTTGGTGGGTGGTGGAATTTGCTGATTGGACGGGATTATTAATACATTTGCTTTGCCTGGATTGATCCAAGTCCACCTGCCAGCAAAGAGTAACAGGAAAGTTCCCCAAAGCGTCATTTGCATCATGTGCATTGATTAGGGTAATTAATGAAATTCAGCAACTCGATGCAGTGGGTAATTTTATCTGAGCACTATCTAAACTACTGAGCTGTTTTAAACTGAGTGCAATGACTGCATTGCCGATAAGTGTATTTCCTTGTGTGCCTAGTGAAAGAGAGGAAGCCTTGATGCTAAAATCATCCAAAAGAGCATAACCACAAAGGTGGAATTAGTCTCTCTTTGAATTGTCATGAAAAGCGAAAACATGTATATTGGTCAAAAGGCAAACTGGAAGTTGGTGACTTAGTTTATTGGGCTCCCCTTCCCTCAAGCACAGAGATGATTGCCAGCTGGAAAAAAACTGGGGTTCTGGTAGCAAAGAAGATCTTGGGAGTGACTGTTGGCAGGCAGTCAATAGCATTTTCCCTACGGACTGAATCAGCACCTCTCGCTCTGCTCACAAGCTCACATGCAGTCGCTTTCCACTCTCTACCTGGCAGCTTCAGCTTATGGGTTTTTTCTGTTGTGCCTGACCATTGCCTACAGACTGCCTCTGGAAGATTCTTCTCTGTAGAATTATCTGCAGTATCATTTCTCCATAGGTCATGGCTGCTTCTATTTTATGCTCCTGCTTTTCCCAGCGTCCGGTTGCACGTGATCGCTCAGCCCTCCATGCGAGGATAACTAATGAAGCGACACTCGACTTCCTTTTGGTCTCGTGTTCCATTGATCCGAGATGAACTGAGATTGGTTAAGCAATCTACACAGTGTTCAATACTATGTCTGGTTTCATTATTGAAGATTGCAAACCTGGAAGAGTCACTGCAAATTGATTCATGTGATACTAATCACTTTGGAAGATAAATTGATACGAAATGTTTATCTCTATAAAAACTCCCATCTGGGAATAGAAAGAAAGCCCCAGAACTTTCTAGCTTTAGCCACATGAACACATAGCTTTTAAGTGGTCAAGTATCATGCAGCTCAGAAAATAGATAGAAATGGACACACACTAAATTAACTATTCTCTCATCACATCTGAAGACCACTTGAATGCATTAGTCCAGAAATTTGTAAAGTTAAGGGATCATAATGCCAAAAAACTCTGCTTAAATCCCCATTCTAGTGTGATAGGCATCTTGTTGATTGCTAGATACAACTACACATTTTTGGCAGGAGCTAGATTGATTGCAGGAGTAGATAGATTGAATGAAGAAGTACTAAGGAGACCTTTTATCACAAAGTATCATTTTGGACAAAAGTGGTGGACTCCTGCTTAGCCGGAGAGCCTTCTCCCTTTGCTTCCCGCGATGCTGGAACTAGGTGGTGCTTTTGCATAACCTGATGTAAAGTGCTAAGGGAAGGAAACTAGAGTTTATTGCACATTGTGTGCTGGGCCTGCAGCAGTGGGTAAGCTGCACAGTGGATTTATGTCCATGCTCAGTTCAGATACACTTGGGGCGGGTGTAGGATCCACTGTTAAATTGAATTTAGGACTTCAGGAGAAAGAAGTTGGAGGAAGGATTAAAAATTAAGAGAATAAAGTAGAAAATTATTATAAAAGGTTTAAGGGCATTTATATGTCATTCAAAACATTTTATCCTATAAAAACTCATACATTTTAACCTGCCAAAACCTGTTAGTAGAATTGTGAAATCATGTCTGAATGGGGTTCTTAGAAGTTGCCTAAGCCAAGGGACACGGTAACTCCCCAGTGAAGCTCATGAGCTTTGCTGTGGGTCTTGGGTGGCAACCAGTGCTACTCTTTGACAGGTGAGTGATCTTTGAGTAATTTCTTAACTTGGCAAATCCTTGTGTTTTTGACCCGGGCAATTGAGATGCTATTAATACCTCTATCATGGGTAAGATAATACCTCTATCATTGGTAAGTGCTTCCTACAGAAGTTGAGACGAAGTGAGTGTTCCAGAAATGGTAGCTCCTGCTCTCACCCCTTCTTCTAATGATGATGATGATGATGGTGATGACAGAAAACAAAATTATTTTCACTATCTACATCATCATCAACGTTATGTGTTACAAATCTCATCTGATGTTTGAACTTCCTCTGAACCAAATGGCCTTTCCTCCTCTTCGCGAATGTTTTCTTCATCACAAACTCAGTGCCCGCTAACTAAGGAAACCCATTTCATATTCAGTGGCTTTTAGTTTTAAATTTTTCTTTCACTGAGTTGCACTCTCCCAATGTTCCACTCACATTTTCCCCATTCTTCTGCTTAAAAATGTTTGCTAGCTCTGGCAAACTCGTAGATGACTGGACAGTTTTCATGAAGCACACACATATACCCACAAACAGTTTTATGGTATATGCCAAGTAACTTAAATAATCTTTATATACTTCCATCCAGCAATGACATTTCCACTCCGTGGTATAGAAAAAGGAAAACATATAAAATATTTAAAGATAAAACAAACACACATGGCTTGATTAAAACCAGTCTGCATGCTGGTTCCAATGGGAGTCTGAATTCCACGTATAAAATGGAGTGTGAAGGTATCTCCGGCTTGTCAATATTTGTGGAAGTTGAGAAACTGCTATACACTCCTCAAAACTCTGAGCGGGCCATCCTCGCCGCGGATTCTTACATTTGTATCTGTTATCTCTTTGTTTTATGAAAGGCTGAGTTTTTTTAAAATTCCACTTGGCTTTCAGTCTGATGTGAATTGAGACTTATTTCATCAGCCTGAATCACCGAGACATAGCTGGGATGGAAGCTGAAAGCCCCTCAGAATTGAATTAGATCAGTCCCTTCATTTACTGTATGGGGCCCTCAGGCCTGGAAAGGAGGTGGGACTTACCCAAGTCATACCCAGCGAAAGTCAGAACTAAAATCTGGGATTTATTGTGTTCCTCCAAACCAACTCGCAGTTGGTGTGGTAAGTACTTTTCTCGTGGCCCCGTGTTTAGTATAGTAAGGCGAGTTATACGTGGCTCTTCCCCTGTCATGAGGAGCAACGTACTGGGAGGATTCCAAAGCACTATGGAAGGAAACTGGACACAACAGTGGATAATATCAGACTGAGCTTAATCATGTCGGATTTAATCACTGAGAGGGTATCTCTACTTCATCAACTCACTGTGGGGGGCAAGTGAAGTAGTTTCAGTGACCCACCTTGTAAACTCTTGAGTGAACTATTGACATGAAGGTTTATGACAGAAATTACAAACTGAATCCAGCCTGCAGGTGGAGCTTATTCACACAGTGTTTGCCTTTTAATATGAATTTGTTTCTAATCTTTAAATACCTAAAGATTTGACTACTTTTAAAAAGTCCACATTTTCTGAGCCTCATGAAAAACCAGAAAGTCTGGCAAAGTGTTTTGATATTCCTAAGGACTGGAGCCAAGTAGCAGCTGCTTCTTTGGGACGGGGGATGGTTCTCCAGTTTGCCACAGTCGCCACCAGGCACTATTGTCTCCTACCCACCCTCTTCACTGGTTTCTGTAATGAGCCCCTGAGGTTCCCCGAGGGCGCAGCTCCTGGTTTATGGGAATGAGAACGTATCCACCTCATCAAGCAGGAGGAGTCCAGAAATTAGGTCGGCTTCTTAGGATCTGGTCACCAGTGACTCCCTGTTCCTCCCTTTGTGTTTCTCTCTCCTTTGCCTCAGTTTCCCCTAGTGGTCCGCCTCCTGGGTTTTGAAATAGTATGCGAGCTCGGGGACGAGGGAGAGCCATCTCCGAGCCCCCGGAGGCTGGGCTCTGGCCAACGCAGCCGTCCCCGGCCTGGGCCCCGAACATGCCTCGTTTGGTCTTTGTTCTTCTCACCACCACACACCGCGGACGGGGCGAGGCAGGCGAGCAGGAGGAAGGTGCAACTGTGGGCTTGGCATCCTCTGCCCGAGGCGAAAAAGAGAGAAAGCCCCACGGGCCGGCGGACAGGCACGAGCTCTACCTGCAAGGCCCCCGACGACGGTGATTCAGTTGCGTGAGAAGAGCCGTGTCTCGGGTTCGTTCAGAACCAAGTGAAGCTGCGGCAGCCCCTCCTCAGTGGGCAAAGCGGCTTCGACTCCCAGCTGAACGCACTGCACACAAAACAGTGTTTTCCGTGCCACTTGCATGGAGCGTGGGCATCTCCTGTCTTTAATTAAGGAGTTAACTGGACCATGAAGCGCCGCCCAAGTGACTCAAAGCGACTGGCGCTGAGTCGCGGGGCTGCAGCGGTGCCCCGCCCTCCTTGGCTCACACGGGCCTCAGGAGAGCGCTGAAAGTGGGGAGGGCCGCCTGCCAGCCCCCTCCCGAGACGTGACCCCCGGCCCGAAATGCGGCTCCCTTTTACCCGGCGCCACGTCCTGTGGACGGCAGCGTGAACAGGCCGCTTGCTCGTGCTTTTTAAACAGCTGTGCCAAGCTCGGCTGGATGGACACCTAACACTGCGGCGCGTGGCTTGGTTCATCCTGGAAACAGGGACCGTTCTTCAGAGCCTTTGATTGCCGTAGAATTAAAGCTGGCTGCTGGGCATTTTGTTTTCTTAA